AAAAAAAAAAAAAAAAAAAAAAAAAAAAAAAAAAAAAAATTATAAAATTCTTAATTATTTTATAAAATCATAATAAATACTCATGCTAAAAATAAAATTCAAACAACATAGAATGTTCTGAAGGAAAAGGCAAAATATCCCCTTTTGTTCATTGATCACTTTCAATTCCTTATTTCCAAAATAATTATTGTTAATATTTTTATAGATCCTTCCAGAAGGGTCATTTAATGCCTTAATAATGTATGTATTTGACATTTTCTCTCAGTTTTTTATACTTAGTAGACAAACTGATTTTGATGTTGAAAAGAATAACTAGCTTGGTGTTTTGCAAAAGGTTGAATAGGAAATTATATGATGTTGACTTTGATGTTTTATTGACTTTCTTGAACACTGGTGTCCCCTTGATAAAGAAGCCTTAAGCAGCCTGTGAACTCATTAGCAGTTCTGTGGACTTGTGAAAATCTCCGTATTAGTGCTGTCTAATAGAAATATAATGTGAGCCACATATGTAACTTAAATTCCCTGCTATTCACATTAAGTAAAAATAAAGGGCTGCTGGGCCGGCCCGGTGGCGCACTGCTATAGTGCGCCGCTTGGGAAGCGCGGCGGCGCTCCCGCCAAGGGTTCAGATCCCACATACAGACCGGTTCCCGCTCACTGGCTGAGCGAGGCGCGGGAGCAACACCGAGGGTTGCGATCCCATTGCTGGTCCCGGTCCGGGGGCGACACTGAGGGTTGCAATCCGTTGCCGGACACGGAAAAAAGACAAAAATAAAAATAAAAAATAAAGGGCTGGCCAGTTAGCTCAGTTGGTTAAAGAGCTGCCTTGTAACACCAAGGTAAAGGGTTTGGATCCCTGTACCAGCCAGCTGCCAAAATATAAAAAGGTGAAATTAATGTTAATAGTATATTTTCTTTAGTGCATCATATCCAAAATATTTCAGTGTGTTATCAATATGAAAATTAATGAGAGGGAAAAAGAAGGCTGGCCAGTTAGCTCACTTGGTTAGAGCATGGTGCTGATAACACCAAGGTCAAGGGTTCAGAATCCCCGTATCAGCCAGCCACCAAAAAAAAAAGAGAGAGAGAAATTTTACTTTTATTTCATGCTAGGTTTTCAAAATGCAGTTTGTATTTCATACTTACAGCATATCTCAATTTGGACCAGCCCTATTTCAAGCGCCCAATGGCCACATGTGGTATAGCTGTTGTATTGGACACCACAGCCCTGCTCAGGATAGTGGTTATCTCTGAGGGAGGAAAAAGGGGAGTGGGAGATGTTCTTAGTTTTGCTTATTTCACAGTTATTGGCCAGTGTTTGGAGTTAAAGTTTGCTGCTTTTGGTGTTCTTAATGATTGCCAGCTCTGACTCAGTTATACTGTCACTAGCATCAGCACTTTCTTTTCATATCAGTTTTCGTTCTTACAAAATACGACAAAGTATTAATAACTCAAATACTATACAAAGATGACAATCCTGCTGAAATTGAACACTTATCTGGTAGGCAGTGCCACCCTATAATAGCTCAAAAGTTTATCCATCAGTACCTGTATATGAAAGATCAAATTCTAAGTACAGAATGTGGTTTAGAAGTATTAGTGTATAATACATTAAACTTGAGCACTTTTTATTCTGAGTCTTGGGATAAATATATGGACTAACATGTAATAAAATTAACTGTTTGGAGAAGACAGTGGTAAGAATTCCTGAGCAGTTTGTGAGAATGTTTTTTAAAGGTAATTTTTTTTTTTTAGGGGTTGCAGATGGTGTAGGAGGCTGGAGAGACTATGGAGTTGATCCCTCTCAGTTCTCAGGGACTTTAATGCGTACATGTGAACGTTTAGTTAAAGAAGGACGGTTCGTACCGAGTAATCCCATTGGAATTCTCACCACAAGCTACTGCGAGTTGCTGCAAAATAAAGTACCTTTGCTTGGTAAGTAACTATCCTATGTGTTTTCCTCAAAAAAAACCCACTAGAAGGTTAAAAACAAAACCAAGAAAATCAGTTACTAGCCCAGCTTTTTTCTCAGGTTCTTCCTACTCAGCAGAGTTTGATAGAGATGTGGGCTTACCAGAATATTTAATACTGCTTAGAGGGAAAGTAAATAGGTATAACCACTTTGGAAAATAATTTGGTATTACCAAATAAAGTTAAACATATAGTATGCCCCAGCAGTTCCACTTCTAGGTATTTACTCTAGACAGGAGAAACTCTTGCACATCTGTGAACTAAGAGATAGGTTCAAGATAGCAACAGTGTCAGTAATAGCAGAAAACTGGAAACAACTAAAAGTCTTATCAATAGTAGAAAAACATATTGTGAAAAGGAATGACTTAAAGCTGCATACAATACTCAGGAACCTGTTGTGAAGGGAAAAGAGGACATTGCAGATTACCACCTAACAGTCTGATTCCATATATTTCAAGTTCAGAAACCTAAAAAGTTAAAACTGTATTGTTTAGGGATTCTAAAATATGGTAAAAGAAGAACAGTAGGAGATAGTAAAATTCAGAATGATAGTAGGAGAATGTGGAATTCACTTGATTACCTGTGGGGAGTTCAAGTTGCAAATAGATACCCCAGACTGCTAACAGCTGATTAGTCCAAGAAATAGCTTGGCACAAAATAGATCCCTGTTAATCTTATATTAGAAAACTTAAAACCCAGTACCTAGGGGTTGTTTATCTGGTATGCTAATGGAGCATCCTTTGGGCAAGCTTCTGCATTTGTTTGTTAAATGGTTTCCTGGGAACTTTCCCAGCATTCTAAGCAAGCTCTCAGAAAGGGGTTATTAAGTTTCTGCTAATTGCCAGAATCTTTCTGGTTACTAGAAGGCCTCCCTCCCAGTCACCATCCACATTTAAAATCAGCCTTTGTTTAGTGTTAATGGGAGATCACCACATTGTAGAACTTGCCTTCAGTTTACATCCTTTGTAAAAAGGGGTTCTTTTTATCACTGTCAACTTCTGTCTTTGTGCTGTGATTAACCAGCTTGCTTTCCTTCTTACTAAAAAGAAGTCTTGTCTTGTAGTTTCAGTATATACTGCTTTGTCTTAACCCTGTACTTTGGACATTTAATATGCACATACAATTTGGAGCTTTCCTGACACAGTGAAACATTCTAGATTTTATTAATAGCACCTCTCTGTCAATCTGCTACATGATTTTGGACAGACTACTTAATCTGTGACCTCCTTGCTTCATATATTAAATGGAGAGAGAGCCCCTAGAGGCGGGTTCCAGGGGATTGACTCCTACATATTCCCATGAGCCACCATCTCCCCCACCCCACCAAATAATTTACTTCAACTTGGGATAACCAGTTACAAAACACATAGCTATCCTGATTTTGCACTTTAAAAGCTTTGTGGTTTTGCCATTTTTTCCTTATCTCTCCTTCCCTTCCTATTCACCCTTATGTAATTGGGAGGTATTAGTAAAATAAATGCAAGGATATATGAGAGGTTTTCTTGTTGATTACTTTTTTCTCCTGAAAGACACATTAAAATAATCCTTTGTTACCATGTATGACACACACACACCTCTCTCTCACAAAATCTACACATCTCTAGATAGGCTTTTTGTAACTAAACTCAAGCATATTTTGGCAAAGACAGGATGCTGAGTTTTACTGAGCCTCAATTAGATATAATTGTAAATAATAGTAAGTTTACAAGATTAGATCTTTTATATTTTTTAGTTCAGCAATTGCTAAAAAGCCTAACAAAACAATTCCAATATAAAGGGTAAGCTAATAGCTATAACCACCTATTTCTTTGAATTTCTAGCTGTTTGGGGGCTTGGTTTGGTATCACAGGCTAATTGTTGACATATATTTCCTCAGAAATGCTTTAGTGGATTCATAAGGTCTTAAGGAGCCAGCATCTCTTTTTTATTTTTTTTTTTTTCCCCTTTTTTTTTTAAATGATCCCTTGAGCTTGTGCACCATTCCTGGAGGTACTGCAATAATACCAGGTCTGTGTGTGGAGTGTCAGGAGCAAGCTCCTATTCCATCTCCCTGCTCCAAAATTCCATTTAATATGTGGTCCTCAGATAGAGGACATATCAGATATTTAACTGATAAGAACAGGTATAGACTTGATTTTAGCCAAAAGGCTGAGAAGCGATAAGAGCCAACATATATCTTAAGAATTTGAGGGGTGAGCCCTTATAAGCTTATCTCTTTGTCTGCTGCATAAAATGCTTAGTTTACAAAATAAGGGGCTGAATCATAAAACTATTTCCATTTTAGCATGAGGGATGGGATTTGCCTGGATGCCTGTGTTTGAACATCTGGCACTGTCGTTCTCAGCACCTCTTTTCTTACTCTTCTTTGCCTGCTTGTTCCTCTTCAAACACATGTCTTCTCCCAATATTAGGCTGTCAGGGCCTGAGCCACGTGCACACATCAATAACTTGAGGAGGCTGAGCAGGAGTATACACTCCAAGCCCAGGTGATTGTGTAGGGCTTGCATTCGTTGGTGCTGCTGTGGGTACTAAAGCTTCCATCACTCACAATCACAAGGACCATTTTGATTCTAACTGTGTGGGTTACTGCCATGGGGGTAGCAAAATGATAGCCTGGGTTTGTCAGGGAGTAATAATGAGTGAACATGAGTCCTTCCGGCAGTAAAATTTTCAAGACTATGCTACTCAGTCATTTTTCATTCTCAGTTAGAATTTAATCCCATGAGCTGGCAGAAGATCTTTTGTATGGCTGATGATTCTACTAAGGATAAATGGTTGGAGTTTTTGTGCATTGAGTTAGGAAGGAGAAAGGTAATTGTGAACTTTGCTATACTGAAAGTTAGGGAGCAGATTATCTGACAGCACTACCAGTTAGTTACACTAACCGTGTTTTTCTTTTCTCTGACATTTAATGGATAGGGACTATATGGATTAGCATTAGTGTCAAGTTACTACCAATTCATATACTGTAGATAATAAGGAAATGGAATTTCTGAAAATTTGAGTTAAGAAAGATGCTTAAAATTTTTTAAATTATTAAGTTATACATTTTTCATTAAGACAGAATTAACAACTAAATTACCCATAATCCTGCTAAGAAACTATTAAAATTTAGTATGATCCCAGATTTTTTTCTGTGTGTGTTTGTGCATAGAATAATAGTAACTTGATTGAGTCTACTGTGTGCTCACAGTAGCCCCATGAGGTGCAGGTACTTTTATTCCCCATTTTGTTAGGAAGAAACATGCCTAGAGAGAATAAGTGATTTGTCTGTGGTCACACAGCTAGAAAATGGTGGTGCACTAGGATTCCACACAGCTGGTTCCACGGCCTGTTTGTTTTGTTTTGCTTTTCAACTGTCACTTTAACAGTTTAGACTTTGCCTACTATTGCATTTTTTTTTTAATTTACTTATAGTAAACTTCACTCTTTTTGATGTATAATTCTTTAAGCTTTGACATCACCCTTTTTGTTAAAGAAAACTTTAATATTAGCTTGTAATCTGCATATTTCACTTATCTTTTCAAATTTTTTAACATAATTTTAATGACTGTCAAATATCTGTTGTAAATGCTTGTCTGACTTAACTAATGTTAATTCTTAGAAACAACTCTATGAGGTAGTTACTGTTATCCCTAGTTTTATAGATAAGGAAACTGCAGCACAGAGAGGCTCAGTAATTTGCCCAAGGTCACAGGACTGGAAAGTGGTAGAGCTAGGATTTAGATGTAGGCAGGCTGACTCCAGAGTCTGTACCTCTAAATATCAGGTGATAGTATATACCCTGGCATTGCATGGATGTACTGTAATTTATTTAACCAATTCCCTAATTTTAGATGTTTAGATTGTTTCCAGTTTTTCCTGATCTTGTTTGCATCTCTAATTATTTTCTTAGGGCAAATTCTTACAGGTGGCATTGCTAAATAAAAGGACATGTACATTTTTAAGGGCTATATTGTCCTTCTGAAAGTTTGTTTAATTTTACTCCTTGGTCCGGCCCGTGGCACACTTGGTAGTGCGGTGCTGATAACACCAAGGCCGCGGGTTCGGATCCTATATAGGGATGGCCGGTTTGCTCACTGGCTGAGCGTGGTGCTGACAACACCAAGCCAAGGGTTGAGATCCCCTTACCGGTCATCTTTTAAAAAAAAAAATTTTTTACTCCTTACCACCACAGAATGAGAATAAGCATGTTCCCCACACTTTTGCCAACACTATGCATTATCTCCTTTTGACTCTTCTTAAACTAATAGGCAAAAATGGTTACTAGTGAGATGATACTCCTTACCACCACAGAATGAGAATAAGCATGTTCCCCACACTTTTGCCAACACCATGCATTATCTCCTTTTGACTCTTCTTAAACTAATAGGCAAAAATGGTTACTAGTGAGATGATCATTTTTTCATATATTTACAGATCATTTACATTTATTTCTTGGTGAACCACCTATTTTTCTATTTTTTCATTTTTCTGGTAGAGGTAGGTATAGGTTTAAATTTTAGCACTTGAAAGTGATCTACTAATTGTACTGTCAGCCTTTCAGTCTGGGAAGGATTTGCAAGCTTGTGTGCAGCAAAGGTACACAGAATGCTTGGAACGTGGGCTCTTGCCTCTGAATATTAGTAGTAGCATCTATAAAGTGAACAGGTTGATTGCACAAGCTACCTGTGAAAATTGGTCTTGTTACTTCATAGTGTATTAGTCTCCAATAAAAGTTCTTGACCTGAACAGATGGAAATCTGATTTTAAATTGTAGTTGTGTGCCCTGTCTTAAATGTTGGTGAATTTTGTAGAGAAGTCTTCCTGCCAATGACTAGTGAGAAATGTCAGGAAAATATAACATTCTCGTTCTGGCATTTAAGTATTAAAACTTAATATTTCAGCAACATGCTTTTGAGCGTTTGGCATAGATTATAGCGCTGTTGAAATAGTGTGATTAAATGCCAGTTATTTTTATCATTTTCTATCTCTGCAAGTGGTAGAATTCAGATCAGTGGCCCACTTGGCTATGTTTAATGTAAATCCCTTTTTCTTTTGCCACCATGTTGACCCTGATCAGGTTATTATTGACACTCAAGGGGGATATGGAGCTTAAGTAAGGAAGATCCTGTTTAGGTAAAGAGATTGAAATTATGGCATGTTGCTCTTTGGGGTTATGTGATAAAAATGTGTATGCAGAGGCAGCCTAGGAAGAGAAAATAAATGAAGGTGATTTTTGTTTCCAGGTAGCAGCACCGCCTGCATCGTGGTGCTGGACAGAACTAGCCACCGCTTACACACAGCAAACCTGGGCGATTCAGGCTTTCTGGTTGTCAGGGGCGGCGAAGTTGTGCACCGTTCAGATGAGCAGCAGCATTACTTCAACACTCCGTTCCAGCTCTCGATCGCTCCCCCAGAAGCCGAGGGAGTTGTCTTGAGTGACAGGTAATCTACCTTCTCAGCCGTTAACTGTGAGCAGGAGGTGGCTCATCCACAGGTCCCCTCCCAACCCCCTTGAATACAGTGGGGATAGGCGTTTTCCATTTTTCTGTGAGAAAAGAAGAGGATCTTTGATTTTGACTTTGAAATATCTTTTGCTTGAACTAAATATTATAGTCAAGTTGAATTCTGATAAACACCCAATAATTTGACAAGACTGTGTAAATACTATTTCAGGCTTACAGAGTATCAGTTTTTCTCACCAACAGCACATGGTACATACAGTGTATTTTTTGAATTGTGCTGGAGAAATAAGGCATTGTTCATGTGTGCCATTGCCTATACAAGATTTTGCATACATTCTTAAGAGCGCAGACAGACATCTGCTTTATTTATCAGAATAACTTCTTGATTCTCAGGATCTCTTATTATATGCATCATATCAAATAGAACTCGAAGGAAATGGAATCAAAAGTGGTCTTGGATATGTTCTTTGATGATGTTATTGAGGTGTTCTCTTTGCTTTCTCATGGCATCTCTCAGTTCATTTTTAAATTGTCAAGAACCTTCCAAGATAATTGGTACTTTTTTGAATTAACTCTTACAGTGTATCTTTTCTTTGATGACTATACAGAGTAAGTCTAAGACAGTCTCAGATTTTACTGCCTTTAGCAACCTTATAGGACCTGGCACAAACATCATTAGCGATTCATAAATGTTGTTGAATGGCAATGTCTTGTAAAAATAGTAGCATTCTAGCAAGTGCTTGTTGTCTCTACTTAATAGCTCTTATTAAACCAGAACTTAAGTCCAAACTAAGATAAAATGATTATTACTGCCATCTTTTAAACTGGAGTGAGCATATTATATAATTAGGTGTTGAGTATTGCCCATCTAAATAAAGTCTGTTGCTGACTCCTAGAGAGAAGGAAGCACTTTTTACTTTCAGATTTAGGCAGATTACCATAATTGGAAGAATATTTGATTTTAGGTTTTTCTTCAGTTGGCCGTAATATACATTAATAATAGCCATATTGGAGTGGGAGAACTCATAACCCCAAGGCCTCAGCTAGCAGTTTTTGGGGAATGGTGCTTTAATTTTCTTTCATTTGATTCTTTTTGTTTTGGCTTCTAAGTGCTAGAGCGGCCCTGCCGTGTCTCACAGGCTGTCTCTGGGACGATCTGGTTAGGGCAGCACTCTGCTGGCCTGCCAGCGAGGTAGAGGTGGCTTCCCCTGGAGCCCAGAGACAGCTCGCTAGCATGTGATTTCGGCTCATGTTTCAGTGCAGTCAAAAGTTTCCAGCAGCACAGAGTGTTCAATCAAAATGGGCAAAACCACAGCTGGCGGAACACCAAGCTCATGGGTGGGAATATTAGGAGAGGACAAACTGTCCAATGGGAGCAAGTTTAACAGGCAGAATAGCAAAGGACACTCCTGGGGAAAGAAAAACCTCAGCATAAAATAGAGCCTCAGTGCCAACCTGGTCATTAATCTCCTCTTCTAGAATCTGATTCATTTTCAAAGACTGAGGAGATGAGAGTGTCTTGCATTGTTTCTCTTTATTCCACAGAAGGAATCAACCTGGTTTCCACCAGTTTTTCAGTCCTTTTTTTGTTTTTTCCTGCTGCATGTATCTCCTTAGTTATTGGTCACTCTTTTATCTATAAAGTATTATTTCAATCTTAACTTACAGGTTTTCCTTTAGTAGCTGTCTTTAGAAAATAGTTATTATGTAAATGTATAAGTGAAAAGTTTGTTCCTTGCAAAAGCACATCACAGAACTTTAAGTGTGCCACTGCTTTCCTTAGTCAAAGACGAACCAGAAATTTTCTCAGTGCTCCTCGTGTAAATCCACAGCAGGCATGGATGGGTTTGTTTTTATGTTTTCTCTTCAGAAATTATATAACATGTTGCTTACACAGGTGTTGGAGTTTTTCTCTCAAGCTTAGGGTGCTTTGGTTCTGGCCCATCCCTTCCAGGCCAGTGTTTGAATTTTTTTTCCTGGCTCTTGTTTTCTAATTACAGGTTAAGGCAGATTATTAGATCTCAATTTGCCCCTCCTCCTGCCCCCCCGCTGGAGGCCTAAAAGCAGTGAAACTGGCCTTCAGAAGTGGCCCAGACCCAATCTCATGTTTGAATTTTTTTTCCTGGCTCTTGTTTTCTAATTACAGGTTAAGGCAGATTATTAGATCTCAATTTGCCCCTCCTCCTGCCCCCCGCTGGAGGCCTAAAAGCAGTGAAACTGGCCTTCAGAAGTGGCCCAGACCCAATCTCAGAGAGGTCCATGAACTCTTTGAGTATATAATTTTTTTCTCCCTGCCTGGGGTTTTCCCCATTCTTAGGTCTTTTATCAGGCATTGTCAGAGAAAAAGATCTCCCATCTGTTTTTTTCAAAGTTGTACACAAAAAAAATGTAGTGAGAAATCTACTTCCTATCCCAGCCACACATTCTCTCTTCAGAGACAGCCACTGTTAACAGTTTTTCTGATCCCCCCAGATTTATTCTCTGCATCTGGAGATATCCACATTTGTGTCTCCCCCAACTTTTTTTTTTTTTTTCTTTCACAGAAATGGTTGCATAATGCTACACACTGTCTGCACCTTGCTTTTGTTCTTTAACAATATATGGAAGAGCTTTCCCCTCAATTTGGAGAGTCCAATACTTTGTTTTGTCACTCATTTACTTATTCAACAGATATTTCTTGAAAACTTCCTGTATGCCAGGTCCACTAATGAATAAATTCTGATACATGATGCGCACTTTGTGACCCCTGGAAGATACATGCCCTTGTTGTACCAAAACCACTGTAGGTATTTGATGTAAATTGATTCTTCTGGGATTGGCATGCTCTTCTCCATGGGTACTCAGCATCCTTCCTACAACGCAGCATCCTAAGGGCCAGATTCAAGCATGCGGGGAAACTGATGGGTGAAGATGAGTAAGAGAGGATGGAATTTGCTTCTAAAGAATTAGGAAATAAAGACTCATTTTCACTAGGATTTTAGAGGCATGGTAACTCTGACTCAAAAGAGAACCCTTCCTCCTTTTAAATCACATGTGATTGACTAATCATCAGGCTCAGTTTTACTTGGTAGTTTCAGCTGAGCTTTTGAAATATTTATAGTAGAGTTTTCAGTTAATTTTTTCAAGGTTAAGAATTTCAGAATGACTTTTTTAAATTGACTCCTTTATTATAAGTTGTTTTTCTTAAAGAAGCCTATTGCATTGTAAAAAAGTGCCTGTAGGAAACTTTGAACCATATCTGTAAAGGGCTTTCTTAACTTTGCCCCTATCCTGTCCTTGCCACAGCCCGGATGCTGCTGATAGCACATCTTTTGATGTCCAATTAGGAGACATTATCCTGACAGCAACAGATGGACTCTTTGACAACATGCCTGATTATATGATCCTTCAGGAGCTAAAAAAGTTAAAGGTAATTAACTCAATGCTTAGCCCTTGGCAACAGTGGCCCTCTCTGTTTTGAGAGGGAGCTGAGTTATTTATTTAGTTGCATTATCTTTTTGAAGTTTTGGAAAGGACTATTTTGTGAACTTTAGGAAAATAATAATAGTTCTAATCTTTCAAGCAATTGTAAATGGAAATGTTCACAATTGGAGAACTTGAAGGAAAAAGAGGCTTCTCACCCAAGCCTTTAGTAGGATGTTAAAAGTAGGAAAACTCCAGATGGGGACATTTCTTGTTTGTATTTTTATTTGTATTTTAATGGTGTTTAATGGTGTTGGCTCCTGGTTATCTTTCTCTCCTTTTCTTATAACATACCCAGCAGGTGTTGAGGCTGGGAAAGACAGGTATTAATCATACCAGAGCTAGCCAAGGCAGCTTCTGAGGGCAACAGGCAGCTAAGAACCTTGATGTGACCTGAGCTATCACCAATAATGAAACAGTTCAGACTTCTCCCATATAGAGGGTAGAAGGAGATGAAAACTAGGCTTTCCATATTCTCCTAGGTGTGTGAAAGTACCAACTCTGGGGGCTGGCCTGGTGGTGCACTCAGTAGAGTTCGGTGCTTGGGAGCGCAGCAGCACTCCCGCCGAGGGTTTGGATCCCATATAGAGACTAGTCCGCTCACTGGTTGAGCGCGGTGTGGGCATGACACCGAGGGTTGCGATCCCGTTGCCAGTCACGGTACGGGCGCGACACTGAGGGTTGCGATCCCGTTACCGGTCACGAAAAAAAAAAAGACAAAAAAATGAAAGTACCAACTCTGGGAAAAATTATTCTTTTCTTATAAGTCTTTACCTTAACCAGTGTGACTTTGGGCAAGTTTCTTAAACTGTTTGAATAATACTTTCCTCACCTGTAAAGTGGGAAATAATAAAGGTCCTATCTGTAGGGTTGCAGTGAGGATTAACTAAGACCACATGTAGGAAATCCTTAGCCCCATACCTTGTGAATGGTGTTCAGTACATGTTGCTTACATGCAGCAGGCACTGTGCTCTGCGCAGTGACAGAATGGTGAGCAGAAATGACACAGTCCTGCCCTCATGGAGCTTACATTCTAGTGGAGGAAAACAGATAATACAGAGAAATAAATACATGATATGTTGGTAGTAAAGAAGAAAAATAAAACAGGGTAAGGGAATAGAGTGGGGGGGCTGCTGTTTTAGAGTGGTCAGGGAAGTCCTCTTTGAGGAGGTGACATTGAAACAGAGGCCTATTATTATTTATATTGAAACTATTTAAAACCTTAGAATGTTAGAGCTAAAATGTAGGACCTTGTTTTCCCATCCCCATTTTGCAGATGAGAAGTTAAAGCAGCAAGGGTAAGGGTATGGCTCAAGATTACATAGCTAGACAACAATCTTTCCCCATGAAAAATTCTAAAGATATTTTCAGTAGGACAACTGGCAACTCTTGCTTGGAGAGCAAACTGGATGGCCAGTAGTGCATTCCCAAGCAGGGAAACTTTTGAGGTGATACTTAAAATGCTATCAGAATCTGATTTTTCAGCCTGTCCTATTTTAGCAAGAATACCTTAAGAATTTCAAATGAGAAAAAAAGCAAAAATGAAAATTCAGGTCTCAGGTTGGCCAGTTAGCTCACTTGGGGGAGAGCATAGTGCTGATAACACCAAGGTCAAGGGTTTGGATACCTGTACCGGCCAGCTGCCAAAAAAAAAAAAAAAAAAAACCAAACTTCAGGGTTCAAGGCCAGAAAGCAAAGGACTTTCTAATTGACATCTTGTGAAGGCAGCACTGGTGGTCTCGTTCATATCAGTTAAGGCATGTTTTAATGTCTTCTCTAACTAGAATAAAACTTAAATGGTGGGAAATGTGTTTAGATAAATGTTGCTGTCCTAAAGTGATTTGTGCAGGAATCATACTGATATGCAGAAATCATGTGAGGCATTATGATAAAAATAACTCCATCATCCTTTCATCTTAGAATTCAAATTATGAGAGTATACAGCAGACTGCAAGAAGCATTGCTGAGCAAGCTCATGAGCTGGCCTATGACCCAAATTATATGTCACCTTTTGCACAGTTTGCTTGTGACAACGGATTGAATGTGAGAGGTAAGCATTCTTTGGGAAGGTCGCAGGGACTAACTGGGGACATAGTGTTAGTAGAGTGGGAGCATTCTGGGCTCTGGGTGAGATTGTGTAGGTGTCCTCTCCCAGCTGTAAGCACATGACTTTGAGCAAGTTTATGTCCTCATGTCTTCCCCATAGAGGATGCCCTTCAGAACTGAACTTGATTGGCTGCAGAGGTAGGCGGAACCTGAAGCCCCTTATTGCCACCAATGCTCTGCTTGGACCTGAGCCGAAAAGGCCTCTGAGCTGTGCCTGGAGGGCCTGGACATTCCTAACAGTTTAACATTCTGCCCTTCACGTGTCTGACATTTCGCTTCTCTCTTCCTCTGGCTTTGTGGGACTCGTTGACAATATTTGCCTGCCAAATTACCACAGCAGGTTTTGAAAAGGGAAGCAATGTGAAACTGTTCTTGACTGAAGAGTCTTTCTATCTACTGCATGATATGTGACTTTGGGGAGCAGGCCAATAGCTCTGTCTCACAGCTGGATGACATGTTGGTGCTAGCATTCAGAACTAGTAGAATTGGTTAGTTTCTTGCCAATCTAATATTATGACATGTAAAGCATTTCTTAGCCCTCCAGGAAATGTTAAAATAGAAAAAAGCACATGCCATAGCTGTTTAGCAGATTAGCATACAAGGCTATTCCTAGTTTCAAACATTGGATATGTTTGTCCAAATTAGGATTGTGGGTAGAAGCATGTAACTTTCTCATCCAGCAGAATTTATCTTAACAGATTTTGTCTTTACTTATAAACAGAGGATGTGGTGGCTATTTTAAACAGAGCTCCTGTTATAAAGGATTAGGAAAGTTTTGGTTTTTTTTAAGTTTCAATTAAATTACATGTAATTTCTTGGTGTTTTTTGTTTAACTATTTCTCTTTATCAAATTTTTTTTTTCTACTAGGGTAGACAAACCAAACCTGCCTGAAATGAACGGATTTGCCTCCTAGAACTTACGTCCACATTTTGGATTGACTTTTCCTTTTAAAATATATTGACACGTATTTTATTTCCATTTTAGGTGGAAAGCCAGATGACATCACCGTCCTTCTTTCAATAGTGGCTGAGTATACAGACTGACTCACTGAGGTGTCAACTCCTGCCTTTCCTTTCACCGTCCCACATTTCCCCTGCCATGTGTGCTGATCCTGCTGGCAGGACCGCGTTTCTTTGCCACTGATCTCAATGGCCAGTGATGTAAGCCTTTTACCTTTTTGAGACCCATTGAGATCTTTGTTGAGAACCACTACTGTCATTCATTAGCTCATATCTGCCGGCAGTAATTGAAGAGAATCAAGATTTGAAGATTCGCCTTCATTTCTCATTGCCCTTTCCCTGATGTGGATGGAGGTTTTCAAGGCCAAAATGGCTTATTACTTTTTAAAAGCAGTTGAAGTATTGAAAATGAGTAATGTTGGTAAAGTGAATTCACAATTACAGTGTGTTAAAGGGATTTTAAGAGTCTAACACAAATCGTACACAATGATACATCTACTAGAAACATACGTTATTCATCAAAGAAATGTTACACATGTATTCCACTTGGATAGTCTTTGTTATGATGATTGGTATGGCTTTATGTTTTCTTTATAAACTCCTATTTTTCAGGGGCTTATAATTCTGCTCTAAAACATTGCTCTGGGTTATGAAATCTTGATTCCAGGAGCATTTTTTTTTGTTACAAATTGGAAGAAAAATTCATTTTAGTTCTATGGATGCAAATATTTTGTGCTTTAAAAAAGATGCTTAATTGTGTTCCTGTGATTAAAGTTTTGGCAGTTTATTGATTAGTCCAAATCACAGGCTAGTGGCCTGATCTACAGTAGGGGTGGGGGAGACTCCTTACCAAAATTTTTTAGTGGAAATATTACTCAAGATTATAAAACTCCTTAAAGCCTAGAAATTTAGTGTTGTGGCTGAAATTCCTTCCAGCTGCCTGATAGGATGGGCCTGTATGGAGCTCTAGGCCTACAGGACAAGGATGTCTGTAAATTCGAATTTTGTTGGCTTTTGATGTTACTCTCAGACCTTGTATTAGTAGTCTTGCTTTCTATAGAGCATGCACCAAATTCAGTGAGTCCCTCCCCATGAAAAGAACACTGTGTGCAGTAGCAACAGCACAAAAGTCCACAACGAAAGCTCATAGTGATGATCTGACATTTGTAATTACCCCAAACAAAAATTTAGGGGTTTCTGAATTGAGCTTAATGTTTACAGTTTCCAAATAGCCATTTTGCAGTGTAGTTTCCATATCAAATTACCCCGCATTTGGTTTTCCCATTATCTGCAAACTCAAACTTATTTTTAAGGTTTGTGTACAAGTTGACTGCTGTAAAGATATATATTTTGGGGTCAGTTTTTTTCCTTCATTAACTTGGTGGTAGAAAAGTATATATACTTAGAAATCCTTAAATTAAAGCCATGTTTTATATATAAGTCAGGTAACATTGGTGTATAGATGAGAATGCAATTAAACCTGATGAGAATCTACTTGAGAATATAGTAAGTCTTTTTCTCTGAAGGAGATACTGACTCCCTGGTTTATTGCATTAAAACTTACGTTTGAGGTTACCTCAACTTGTTTTAAAAGATTTTGTTTTGTGAATTTGTACTGTATATTTGAGTAACTGTTAAGCTTTTGTTTTATTTAAAATTGTTTAACATGTACCATGTACATGTCATTACTATATTTCAATGCATCATGCTTGTAACAGGCATTTCATTTATAATAAGAATGAGTTATTCATTTGTAAGCTGTTCAGTAATTTATCTACTATTCCTAAATTGGCATACTGTTAGATACCTGTTTTGAGTCACCTTTAATTACATGTCAGAATGCCTTAACTACCCTAACTTGACAAAACAGAATTCTTTGGTGGAAGAGATGGGGGGCGGGGTGGGGATTGTGGAGGAAGACTCTCTTTAAATAAGGAGAAGTCGTCATGTTGTGATAAAACACGGAAGCATGAGTGGCAAGTGGTGGGGTATTTATTTTGCACAAACTATTTGCAGTCTCTGCGTATTTAAAAAGTAAAGAAAGTTCATCCAGAAGGGTTTTGTTAGGAGGAATACAATTATACTAGGACTGACAACTTCAGCTCTTTTGTTTGGATTTTTAATTATTTTTGGTCAGAGGTATGTAGCCTTATGATCTGGATATATTTTGTATTAATTTTCCAGTGTCTACATTTAATTCTGGTAAGAGCAGTGCTAGTCAAATTACTGGCTTTTCTCTGCTCTCATTTAACCTGTCAAATGCAATCTTTGTAAAGCTAGATTGGTGGTGTTTTACACAACTCATTTAATCAACTTCCTTTTTTGAGAAATGATTGTTAGAAATCGACAATATGTTTGTTCCAGTGAGGCTGAAAATAGTCAAGAATTGAGTTTCACAGTGGAATTGACTTTGGACCTGGCCTGTAGATTTGTGACATAAAATATTTTTTCTTCTCCCATGTTCTTTTTGTGTTATGCACTCAATTTTATGACTGCCAGGGCTCAGTTGGAGTGCTGCTTAACAAGTAACTCTGCTACTCACAGTGGTCAGAGGCTGTGTTGGACCCACGGTAGAATTTTCCAGGTCACAGACCCAAGCTTCCATGGGGTGTGACTGAGCTATACCACTTGGTGGGTCTGATTCTGAACCTGATGTGTGTGTTAATTATATTTTAAATCAAGCAGTATAAACACACACACTTGCCTCACGTAATGGAATTTTATAACAAAAGAAAACCTGGATTTCTAATTTACAAATGGCAAATTATTTATCCCTCTCTGGATGCACCAAAGACCAGTAAAGTTTATAGCTTTTCCATCTATATTTATAAAGCAATACTGTATTATAAAAATCAATATTTTTATCACATGCTTGAAATTTTTATTTTGTTCTGTTTTAAAATGTGCACTCTAAACATATCAGAACCTTGTTTCTTCCTATGAACTTAAGCTGCCTGCGCACAAAAGAAATTTTACCGCATGGAAATGCAGTAGAGTCCACTGGCTCTTAAAAACAAAGAAGAAATGAGGGGAAAAAAGTGATTTGTCCTGAATTACTGTTTTCGCTTGACATGGTTGATAGGTACTAAATCACAAAAGAATCCATTCCAGGTGTGCATGTCTGGGGGTTGGGCTGTGTCTAGATTAGAAACTTGATTCAAGCTTTGCATGATGGGAGAATGTCTTCTATCAACTGCTCTTGTTCTGGATAGAACGGTAGCCCAAAGATGAAACCACCTTCAGTACCACCAACCTACCATATCAAGTAACAAGGCAGGAATTATAGGTATTTACTGAGTCTGTTTTGGAAATGGTAAACAAGATTGGCTAGAACTGTTTTGAGAGAGTTCATGGTTCTTTGTCACCTTATACCAGCTATCTTTGGTAGAAGCTACAGCATTCAGTTTCTCTGAAACTATCACATTTTTGCACTTAACAAATTTTACGATATCAAAAAACCAAAATCTGCTTATAAAACAAAATATAAAGTGGAAAACATTTGGATTCTATTTGTAAAAAAAATTCTTTGCAAAACTGAAGTTAACTATAAAAACAGTGTCCATGTCAAACTTTTAATTGTTAGCAGGTAGTTTGTGGCAAAGATGGCTAAATAATGAAGCAAATTTGAATCTGTGTATACTAATGAGCTGCTTCTTCCTGTTGAGACTATCATTATTTGTCTTACCCAAGAGGTAATTATCTGAATTGGATGTCTGAAATATAACTTATGCAGGAATAGTTCTGTAAATACATTTAAATAAACTGTAAAGATATTTAATAAATATAGTATTTATACTAATCTGTGTACTCTTTTTGGTTTGAATAGTAGCTAAATAAGACACCAGCCCTTGACATTGAGTTTACTGGTCTCTGTCAAGCCTTCATTTCCAAGCCTCTTAGTCTAGCAGTGAATCTCCATTCACAGCTATAATTTCCTGTCCTTTACTACATGTGCCTTAGCTCTTTTTCACCAGCTGTTTACTACAATCAATCAGCTTCTTCAAAAATTCATCACAATGGACTGATAATTGAATGTAAAATATTATAGAGGTTTTCCCAGCTGAGGCTTTGCACCTTCCAAATGGCGTAGTGAAGCTACCAAAAAATAAATAAATAAATAAAAATCTGGTGTATTTATACTTAGCACTTTATATCCAAATTCTAAAATCCAAAGTAGGTACAGTTTAACAGTATGACCCAGGGGCATATCCAGGCTATTACTGATGACCATGCCTTTACAACCTAAACACCCTGTCTGGTTTGAGTGAACCAGAAACTTCATCCTCAGCAAGGAGACCTAATGAGTTACTCTTATATATAGGAGTTCTTTGTATAGTCACTCTGCATTTCTTAGGAATATCAGAAATTCAGTGTTAATCATCAGTGTAAGCATATGATACATAAATCTTCAGCCTACAACATGAAAGGGCTTGGTTGAAATTATGTGGGCATTGATGTTTTCCACAAAAAAACTCGGTGAAAGCCCATTTTCATTCACTGAGGAAAATCTTGGGATGAACTTGAGTTTTTATTAGGTTATTGTGGGTAGCTATGACTCATTACTAAGCTACAAGAGCCAAATTCATTCTGGTCTCAGTAAGAACTCTTCACAGTTCTAAAGCATACAAATCCACTCAGCCACCTTTATAAATTTCTCACAAAGTCTAAAGTACAATTGCTTACCAGTTAACACTTCCTTATGATTTGATGGTTTCACAAAAACTTATAACTACAAAATGTTATAGAAGTCTCCTTTGTCGGGTTATAATTGACTGTAAACAGGTTTTGGGGAGGAAAAGGCACACACATAATATATAACACAATGTTTTTGTGCCAGATGTTTTAGTCTGTGCAGGTAAGAAGCTAGTTCTTAAGGGGCAAATAACAGACCTTGTCTTGCACCTCATTATACTCCAAACCCAGGCTCTCTTGGCAGTAGAGGGTGCTGCTCTATATCAGATAATACAGAAATTTTTGGCATCACTTCCATTAAATTCTTTTCTGCATCACACTGCAAAATAGTCACATCTGAAAATAAAAAGTGCTACAAAATAAAATTTTACAATATGCAAAAAGACTCCAAAGTGAGGGAGTGATTATATATTTTTATTCTTGACCTTTTTTCCAGGAGTTATTTTACTTAAAATCATAAAAAAGCAAAACAAAACAAAAAAGAGTCATGAGAAAAGATGGTATAATTTTTTGGCTATTTCTGAAAGCACCAAAACCCAAATATTTGCAATCAAATACAAAAGATACCTTTCTACAATCACAAAACTCTGTTTCAAGCCATCTTGATGCATTCCAAATGGCTGCTGAAGAAAGTTCAAATACCATTATAAAACTGGCAAAAAAAAAATTTTAAGTGCTAAGGAGAACGTGCATTGAACTAAAGAACTCTAATGGGCTTTTTTCCTGCACAGAAAACTCTTCTACCTCTCAAATAGCATCACAGATTTTAAAGTAAATTATATACAGTTGGCAAGCAGGTATTTCTAAATGTAGGTTTTGTACAGATGATGTCAAATTGGAAAAGCAGAAGACCACCCTCCATTTCAAGGAAGTCCTGGACAATATCATTTACTAAGTGAAAACTCGAGCTCAAGGTGCAAGTGAGCCTGGAAATGGGCTGGGGGCCAGCTCAGCATCATTAAGTAATAGAATGTGGAGAGACTGCCACTGCTGATGTCCTCTTCGCTGTCACTTGCTGTTGCCAGACTTGTCAAAAGGGTGGTTGAAGTGTTCTTGCTGGTCAGCAGAAAATGCTCCAAAGAACATGCAAGAAAACTGGAGGGGAAAAAAGTAACTGCACTGTTTATTCCAAAGTGAAAGTTTGCTTATTAAATGTTCCAGGTGACAGCCCCTTTTCAGAACCTTGGCCAATGCGGTATCCCTATCTTTGTTGGTGATGGTTCATGGAACACCCAGAACCTTCACTACTGGCCCAGCACATCCTAAAACCAAAACCTTTCCTGAATTGAAAGGTACCAGACAATCTTCATTTTGGGATTAGCACTCTGCTAACTCCCGTTTTTGAGCCATCAAAACTTCCCCCAGGGCTATATGAGAGAGAAGGGAGCCTCTGCAGGCAATTGCAGGCAAACTGGTCCATCTCCCCTTTCCCTCCTGCTAGGATGGAAGCTACACTTACAGGCTAAAGCCAATCTTTCCTACCTTATCTGCATCCCATCCCATTCCCTGCCATGCCTCTGCTGAAATATTAGCATTTTCAAATGCTCGTGTCTGTCATCTTTAAAACACAGAAATAACCTAACCCCATTCCATTCCCCCCCTCCAACTACTGCCTTCTCCCTGCCTGCACTCTCTTCTGTCTGCATTCACCATCTCTGTTGCTTCATTCTCCTACTCTCTGTCCCAGGTTAAAAATGCTAACCCTGCCACTTCACACAAACGGTTATTGTGGTCACCCCAAGTCACCACATCCTTAATACCCATCTTCAGTGTTCATCCACTTGAAATTCACTCTGATACCTCCTCATGCCCTCCTCATGCCACATTTGCTACTCACACTGCTCAGCTGACTTGTCCCCTCCTAACCAGCCTTTCGGCCAGGAATTCTCAGCCTCAGCACTAGTGACATTTGGGGCCTGATGACTGTTGTGGGGCTGTCCTGCACACTGGAAGATGTTGGGCAGTATCGCAGGTCTTTACTCACTGGATGCCAGTAGGACCTGCCTTCCCGAGATTTGACATCCCAAAGTGTCTCCAGACATTGCCCAAGGTCCCCTGGGCGCATAATCACCCCTGGTTGAGAACCACTACTTTAAATGATAGCAGTCCTCTCCTCTGTCTCCTCTCCCTAGGAGATTTCATCCACACCCCTAGATGAAATTACCATCTATATGCCAGAGAGTCTCAAAGTTAGAATTTGAACTTCAAACCATAGATCCTACTACCTACTTGAGTTCTATAACTTAACATACCCCAAACTGAATTCATGATCTGAGTAAGCCTTGAACTTGGTTCTCCAAACCTAATTCACTCTTGGTACCTCCTTTTTCCTTAACCCCCATAACCAATCCATCACCAAGTTCTGCTAGTTTTGCTTCCTAAATTAGCCATCTATCTTGGCCTCTTCTCCCCACCTCTCATGTAAGGACTCACAAGCTCTCAGACACTACAGCTGGGCCACCACACTTGCCTCACTGCACCCTATTGTTCACACAGCAGCTGCAACTAAAGTTCTCTTGTCAACAGTCAATTCCGTCAGTCCTCCCTGTTCAAACCCTTCAAATACTTGAAATACCAGGGTACTTTATATGGCCATTTAGAGCACTGACAGGACTCTTCCCACATGATCTGGTGTTTGCCAACTGCTCTAGCTTCACCTTGTGCCGCTGTCTGCCTCCCTCTCCCCACTACCTGTTCTCCAGTCACACGGGCCATCCTTCAGTTCCTTGAAACTGCCACTCTCCCTCCAGTCACAGGGCCTTTGCACATGCCACCTTTACCCACAGCTCCTCCCCCTACACCCACTACCTTATCTATTCCAGGTCAGCTCTGACCCCAACTTCAAATGGAAGACTTTCTTCAAATAGAAGACCTCCTGGACTAGGTCAGACCACACCTTAAATCTTCTCAAAGTGCCCTGAACTTTTCCTTTATTGAATTTATCACACAAATTATCATATATTTAGTCATCTGACTGTTTTATATCTATCCCCTAGTCCCTGTTAACCTAGAAAAAACACATTAGAGAAAAATATCTCCAAATATGTTGAGTTTATTTGGGAACAGGAAATAGGATTATAATCCGGAATGCATACCATGGCCAGCCACGAATGCATTCGATGAGGTAAGGGTAAGAGAAAGCTTTATTGGCAAAATGGGAGAGCCTCACGTAAGTGGCGTAGAAACAGAGTTCATTGATTTTGGAGGCTCAAAGTCAGATTTATTGTCAGTTCATCCATTAAGATGCCATTACTGAGCAGTTTCCTCTAGGAGCATCTTATTTTTGTTCTGCAGTTCTAAAGAATGTCTAGTGATAAACCTTGTCACAGAAATGTGCTTATGGGGGGCCGGCCCGGTGGCGCACTGCTACAGTGCGCCGCTTGGGAAGCGCGGCGGCGCTCCTGCCGAGGGTTCGGATCCCACATACAGATCGGCCGCTCACTGGCTGAGCGAGGTGCGGGAGCAACACCGAGGGTTGCGATCCCGTCGCCGGTCCCGGTCCGGTACGGGCGCAACACTGAGGGTTGCGATCCGTTGCCGGTCACGAAAAAAGACAAAAAGGGGAAAAAAAAAAAAAAAGAAATGTGCTTATGTGCAAAGGAGGAGATGTGTGAAGGATCTGAAAGGATTTATGCTGGGTTTTGGAAAAGTCTTTGGAAACAGTTCTTACCTCAGACAAGCAAGCACGACTCATCCCCTTCGTGCCTTCCCAGTACTATTGTCTGGGTCTGACAAAAAGTGATTTTGTCATTGTTCACATTCCCATACCCTACACCCCTTCCAGTCTTCTTTTTTTTTATATATAGGATCTGAACCTGCGGCCTCGGCGCTCCCAGCGCCGCACTCTCCCAAGTGAGCCACGGGGCTGGCCCCCCGCCCTCCAGTTTTTAATCAAGTTTAGGAACCTTATTTATTTTGCTCAACATAATATCCCCCACATGGCTATCTAGGACACGTGGTCCCAATACATACTTGTGGGAGTTGTATGGTAGCATGAATGAATAAATTAATAAGCCCTGTTCTTGGGTCATCCTCATGTATCAGAAGGTGAAGATGTCCTCTGCAAGGTGTCAGTTCTGACAGCAGCTGTTGAACATTTGCTCCAGG